ATCAGGTCCAAATTGCAGACACCAAAATGTTGCTCTTGAGATGTCCCAGTTCTCATTAAGGCCGATGGAGAGCTGCTCAGTACAGCCAGCGGGGTCTGCGGTGGGATTTGAGTCACTGTGAGGCAGTATGTACCTTTGGCCAGCTGAATTGCTCTCTGGACACTACTGGCACATAGACACCAGCACCTGGACACCTACACAGAGTCGGGACCTGAATCGCACCCACCATCTCATGACTTTGGATGGGTGTCATGCTGACCCACAGTAACGTGTCCTCTGTGGGCCCCTGTTTGCAAAGCATGTGTGATCATTAGAGTGGAGGCTTCCTCTCCCTGCACGTCAGCTGCCCGCCACCACACTGGGGCCATAATCTGAACTGGGACCCGGACGTGCCTCTGTGGGATGACCCAGGAGAGCAGAGGGGTGCCAGGACTGCATGGGGCTTTGGGCAAAATTGCTGGGTGGCTCTTTGTCTCCAGGAACCTCTTTGTTTTCCAGGGGTTGCTGCTATGGCAGTGGTCACCTGTCATCCCCACGTGCAGCAAAGCATCCTGGAAGTCCTCATCTGTACACAGAATCCAGCCAAATGTCCAAGACCCAAGAATGGCTCATGCTTTCCTCCCACTCTTCATCCATGAAATGAAGTGTGGGTATTTTTACTGATGTGCCTGAGAGCAAAGTTTCATCCTTCCAGTGCTTCCCAGGAAGGTTGATACTGGTAGCAGTGATGTTGAAAGCACTTTTGAGTGAAATCCATCCCCCCATTTTACCAGGAAATTTATGTTTAAATGGCAAAGGATGAGGAGTTGAAAGCTGAAAGACCCTCTTTGTCCTCTCTGGCAACAGAATTTACTTTGCACGGAGGAAAGAGGTTATTGAAGAAAATCAGAAGAGGCAGAAATAATATATCCTGCTACTTCAACTCCATGGATTAATGGCAAGAGCTGGAATGTCAAAAATTTATACCAAAGGTTTCACCACGTCACCACTGCACACGGTGTTTATTATGCTGCACTTGCATGACCAAAACATCTTGCCTAGAAAACCAATGTTTTTCTTAAAGTTCAGAAAGTGTTTGACTAAATAGTATTTTATCCATCAGTGTTTTCCAGGTATAGTGTCAAACGGGGAGCACTAGCGGGAACATACAGCACATGAAAACATTCTGGAAAGAAGAAGCACCCCCAGAGGAAGGGATGAAGCAAACTGAGAGAAGAAGGAAAAACCTTTCCACAACCCAAGGGAACCCATTTGCAAAGAGGGAAATATCTCAACTGGGAAAAAGAATAACAAAAGGCTTGCCAGGACAGCAAGGCTTTCTTAATGAACAGGATTGTATCTGAACTACTCCCATATCAAAAAAATATTTTCTGAACTTCAAACAAGGAACATCAGAGCCATCGCACAAGAAAAAAGTATTTTGGTAGAAGCTGCTTCTAGCTGAAGTACCGTGACCTTTGAAGGTTGGAAAAAGCCTTCAAAGAGAAAAAGCTGGAACACATTTCCAAGGGTTATCTCCTAACAACCGTGACACTTTTTAATCTTGGTTTTTCCTACAGCCCTCTTGAAGCATCTCATTCTTTCTGCCTGTCCTCAGTTGCTAGCTGGATAGTTGGTTTAATGATCAAACAAGCCATATTACTGAGATGAATTTGGCTCAATGCCTCATGGAGATATCACTGTGACTCAGTGAAGCACCCTACAACCAAACAGAAACTTAACAGCTGTCTCTAAATTTTAATGCAATTTCAACAGAAAAATAGAGACTTCTTCTGTCAGTAAAGCACCTCTTCCACATCCTACAGTATCAAAGACTGAGTTGCACTAAACGCATTTACAGTGCATATAATTAAAACATTACACACTCACAGAGAAGTTCAACCGACCAAAATTTCAAGGACTAGGAATGTAAATCCAGATTAAAATACCTACTATAAAGATAGGGCCTGATTTTCAAAGCCTTCCCAATGACTTTAGTAGGAGCAACCCATTTAAGAGTCAGGCTACGCTTTTAAAGCAAGCTTTAGGATCACAGATTTACTTTTGAAAACCATCTGGACTTGGCTGTATCTGTGCTCAGCTTTAGTGCTATCATTTGGTTTTGTTCAAATAACACAAGATACAGTAGCACTTTCATTGGGTGCCAGATTTAGACACACAACCGCAATGACATAATTTAAGCATGTGTCTAACATTTAGCATAAGTGCTGTTCATGTCTTCCAACCAGTTTCCCTAAACCAGGAGGGGAGCCAGCGAGGGTAATATAACCCACGATGGATGTTCTTCAGAAACAACCATCATGAAAATGAAGCAAAGCACCAGTCGTGGCTCAGACTGTGCCAGGAGCCCAGTGACTCCTTCCACCTCCACCCAGCACCACTGGACATTGAATCAATGGTTTGAAACTTCATGAAATTACATCACTGCAGGTGACCAATGGGTCACAGTCACCAGTGGGTGTCAGAGACACAGCTGCCACAAGGATTGCACTTCTGTAAGTATTGCATGTCCCTCTTACAGAGTTTTACAAATGCTACATTTTCCAGTAGCATGACCATAATTACTACGTATCTTTGGGGCTTTATTTTTTTGATGGTAGAAGGTGGTAAGAGCGAGAAGAAGAGTCATACCAAGTAAAGAGATGACCAATTTCACCTTACATCTATCCATCAGACCTTACTCTAGATAGAGAACAGATCTAAACTAGCATCAGACTTGTTAGCCATTAGTTCTGCACTCTTAGAGATGTCTGCAGAAA